CTTTTATCCATCCCGGGATCGCCCGCGGGGGTTGAGCCATCCCCGGCGTTTCCCAACCCTCGGGAGGCGATCCCTGCCCGGGCTCCGGTTGTTTTATCTGCCCGGAATAATTATCAGTTTCTCCCAACACCCTCCAGTTTCTTCCTTGAGGTTTGTTTTTTTTTTAAAGCTGTTTTGCTTCCTGCAGCGTTTTGCTGATTTTGCCAAGTTGGTAAAAATGATGAGGAATGAATTTTTTGGGGTGGAATTGCTCCACAGGCAGGGACAGCTTCCATAGACCAGCCCAGCCTTGGACACTTCCAAGGGTGGGAAATCCATGGAATTCCCTGGGTTAGGCCCTCACAGGGAACAATTCCTCCCCAAAGTCCCACACAAATTCCCCCTCTGACGCCCTGACCCCATTCCCCGTGCCCTGTCCCTGCAGTTCCTGAGGTAAAGTCCCTCTCCAGCTCCCTGCAGATCCTGGAGGAGCTCTGGGGTCTCCACAGGCTCAACATTCCCAACATTCCCAATATTCCCAGCCTGGATTCATCAGGGACTGGCTCCAGTCCCCTGAGCAACTTCATGGCTTGGGGACACCAGAACCCGGCACGGAATTCCTGGTGGGATCTCAGCACAGCAGAGCAGAGGGAGAGAATCAAACACCAGGACCCAAAATGAAGAATTTTAGGGTTCATTTGCATTGATCCCACTGGGTTTCTCCTTTTACCCTTTTAGGAGGATGGGGAGGTTGGGACAGGGATTTCCAGGTGTGGTCGGGGCAGGAGCAGCTCCCAATGGTTCTGGCCCCACAATTTCTCTTCTCCCTGGTTTTTCCTAATCCTGGTTTTGGTTTGGGTGAATTCTCTTAACTGTAAATTCCAAGGGTTGGGAAAACTCAAGGAAACCCCAGGAAAAGCTCCCTCAGGCTCCCTACACTAACAGTTAACAATGGGAAGAAATGGAATAAAATGGACATTTTGGGACAGAACTCTCAGGGCTACTCAAAACCCCCACTGTTCACTTTATAACTCCATAAAGGCAGGGATTTTTTGAGGGGGAAAATCTCATTTCTCGAGGAAATTTAGGAATAATATTGGGTATGGAAAATGGAGACTCAACATGAAATGCAATCCATGAATGACTGGAGAGGGAGGAATCTGAGGAACAAATCTGCTGAAGTTGCACCCAGACCTCTGCCTCAGCTGGAGCTGCACCTGGACATTCCCAGGTTTTCCAGGGGTGATGCACAGATCCCCTCCCTGACCTGGCTCACCCCAGTCCATGAATCCTCCTCCCTCAGCAGTGCTGATCCCACAGATTCCCTAAAAATGGATGTCGATTTCTCCTGGGAAAACCCCTGGTTACTCCCCTGGATATTTCATGAGCGTTCCTTGACCAGGAGGATGGGAAGGAGCTCTTCCCATTCCCAAATTCCGTCGGAAGGCACCTGTGGACAAACGTGCCTGGAGTCGGAGTCACCGGAGTCACTGTGGGTCAATAATGGCAGAAATTGCACAATTGCCTTTTCCTCGGAAAAAGCCAGGTGGGATCCGCGCTATGTCAGCACCTCGTGCTGATGGATCAACATCTGAGCAATCGTGAGGCAATCCCAGAAGTAGGAAAAAGCAACAATGAAAATCAAAAAAAAGAAATCATTACCGCGCCTGAGTAATGCCATGGATGTAACAACAACAGTAATAATTGCTGAGCAAAATAATCACTTTATCTGGGCCAGTGAGAGGTGGAGGGAATTTTTCTTGGATCATTCATCAGCCGTGGATGTTTCAGCTCCAGCTGATTGCCCAAGAAAAGGTATAAAAACCCTCTTGGCTCTGGGCTGCTCCAGCAAACCCTCCCGCCTCACTCCGAGCTCCACGGGGTAAGTCCGAGCCTGGAATTGTTCCTGGAACTGTCGGGATTTGAACTGAGCTTTGCTTGGATCCCAAATTGTGGGGCCAGCAGGGCCAGGGCAGGGGTTGGGGTTACTGCTCGTTTTAGGGGTTAATGTTAATTTTGGGGGTTACTGTTCTTTTTGGGATTTACTGCTAATTTGGGATTTACTGTTAATTTTGGGGGTTACTGTTCATTTTGGGGGTTACTCTTCATTTGGGATTTACTGTTCATTTTCGGGGTTTACTATTAATTTTTGGGGTTACTGCTCATTTGGGATTTACTGTTCATTTTGGGGGTTACTGTTAATTTGAGATTTACTGCTAAACTTGAGGGGTACTTTTGTGTCAAATTGACTCCGTAATTAAGAGTCGGGACACATAGGAGACAAGGACATGAGAAGATGGAAAACCCCACATTTTGAGCCTCTTTGTGATGTTTTTGCTGTCCGCTCTTCCTCTTCCCAGCCCAGCCTCCATTAAATCGGTCTCTGACCTTCCTGCTGCCTCGGCTCTGTGGTTCCAGACCCATCCTCAGTCCCAGAAGATGTTTCCCTACAGACAGAGCTCCAGTTCCCGCTGCCTGGTGCCCTGCGGGATCTCCTGTCCCCAGCCCTGCGCGGACGCCTGGAGCCAGCCCTGTGTCACCTCCTGCGGGGACTCCCGCGCTGTCATCCACCCCCCGCCCGTGGTCATCACCTTCCCGGGGCCCATCCTCAGCTCCTGCCCCCAGGAGAGCATCGTGGGCTCCTCGGCACCCTCAAACTTCCTGGGATGCGGAAACTTCCTGGGATGCGGAAACTTCCTGGGATCTGGGGGTTCCTACGGCTCCTACAGTTACGGGAGGTCCTACTCTTCCTACGGATCCTCTGGGAGCTGCAGACCCTGTTAAACATCCCAGGAAGGAGCAGCAAGGAGCCAAGAGCCACCACGGAGCCTCCACAAACCCCGGCAGTTCCCGGAGCATCCTGAGCCCCAAATCCCGGCAGTTCCCGGAGCACCCTCAACCCCAAATCCCGGCAGTTCCCTGATCATCCTCAGCCCCGCGCTTTTATGTAAATTCCCTTTTCTTTTCCTTTTCCTTTTTTTTTTTTTTTTTTTTTTTCCTCAGCCGCGAGTTCTGAAAAAAAAAAAAACAAAACACCAAAAAAAACACTGACTTGGAATGGTCCCATCCATGATCCCTGGCTGGCTGAAAGTGGGATGAGGTCGTGTCACCTTCCCACGCCTGAACACGCAGGAGTCTCCCCTGTAGAATGCCCAGCCTTAGAGCGATTTTTTCCTTCATTTCCCCCGGGATTTTCCACCCCCGCCGTGATATTTCTCTTCCTCCTTTCTCATTAAACCGTTGTGCATCAAAATCCAGAGTTTTCCTGTGGTTTTTACCCATAATTTTGGGGGTTTTCCGCCAGTCTGGGTGAGCGCGGCAGCTTCTGGTGCCTTTCCACACCCGGAAGGTGCCCAGGTCCTTTCGGCGGTGACACAAAGTCATTCCAAGAGGGATAAAGAGGTTTTGGAACTCTCCCAATCCCTTTCGGATCTTTCCTCAGGGCGGGTGTGGCTGTTCCCAAAGAAAGTCAAACGCGGGTGACTGGGATTATTTGTGTCTCAGTGCCCGCCCCGGGCTGCGATTTAATTACCTCCCGACACGGTAATTTTATGGTTTTTTTCCTTGTTTAAAAACAGCCTGGGGCGAAAAACTTTCCTTGGAAAACTTCCCTTGGAAAGTCCCACAGGAATTTTTACCAGAAAGGCAAATTATTGGTGTAATTCCGTGAGTTCCTATAAATAAATTAAAATAAATTAAAGAGCTCCCTGCAGATCAACACACTCGCCCCTGGGAGGGTAGGGAAATTCTCTTTTCCTGGGAATTTCTGGCTGCCCCATCCCTGAAATTGTCCAAGAACAAGTTGAAGCAACGTCGGATGGGGGAAGGAGTCCCTGCCCATAAATCAAAGATCTTCAAGGTCCCTTCCAACCCAAACCATTTTCTGGTTCTGTGAAACCCCAAAGGACAATTCTTTAACCTTTGATTCTTTCATTCTCCCTGGGCTTGGAAGGAACAGAAAGAAACACAGGGAAAAGATCCGAAAATATCTCAAAGTTTAAGGGGTTTTCTCCTCCTTTTCCATCTCTGTTTTGCAGCAGCCTCGGGTCCTGTGACCCCCGATTATGGAGCCAATTTGATACAAAAATCATCATTTTCTGGCCACTGCAACAGGGGGATGTGTCTGACTGTGGCATTTTCTGCAGTTCTCGGGCACAATTTGAAGAAGAACACGACAGAAAAATTCCGATGGAGGCAGCTGGGGCTCCTGATCCATCTGCCACCCAAACAGGAGAAAACTGAGGATGAGAAAAACTCGGCTCTGAACCCCAGAGGTCACTGCACCCTTGTCTTACCCCGGGCTCAGTCCCAGGACAAGGAAATGCTGTTAATTGAGATGCAATCAGCAGCTGACTCATTAAAAGCCTTGCAAAGGCAGCCTGAGCCTAATCCCAGCTCCGGGCAGATCCCGATGTCAATTAAACTCCTTGTGCTTGGTTTCCATACTTTATTTAATCGGTAAAATGTATATTTAATGGGTTTTAGGTGCTCCAGGATGACAATATCTTTATTTAATGGGTTTTTTGGTGCTTCAGGCTGGCAAAATCTTTATTTAATGGGTTTTTAGGTGTTCTGGGCTGGCAAATTCCCTGCAGGCACAAAGGCCCAGGGATGTGCAGGGAGAAAACCAGAGGGGTTGGACTGGATGACCTTTGGTGGTCCTTCCCAATCCAAACCATTCCTTGCTTCCATAATTCCTTGTTAAATAAAAAAACCCAGAATAATTCTACCTGATTAATTCCCCATGTCCTGTCAGTTGTGCCCATGGCCTTTTCCAGCCTGAATGATGCTGGAATACTGTTGTTTTGTATTTTTTTAAACGTTTAAAGGATGGAACGCTGCTCCTGAGGAATTTTATTACAGAAACATTTGGAAAATCAAGTAAACTCAGGTTGTGCTCCTGCTCAAGGAGCAGCTCAGACCTGCCTGCAGGCAGATCAGTGGGTGAAGGGAAAAAGGGGGAAAAAAGTGGGGAAAAGGGGGAGAAAGGGGGAAAAAAGGAAACCAGGAGGCTGCTGTGTGATGCAACAAAGTTTTAATGAGTGGGAAACGCCCCTTTGCAAAGCCAGAGATCACAGAACGTGGAAAATCCATTCCCGGACAATTTTGGGGAAAATTCATTCCCGGATAATTCTGGGGGAAGTCCAACCAAAGTCCTGCTCTGAGATGTCCTCAGCCAGCTTCTCCTGGTTTTTGTCCAAGGATATTTGTCATTGAGGGTGAAATCCATCGGGAATGGGCTGTTCCATGTTGGTCCAATAAATCGGGAATGCCGGAACAGGGAATGGGCTCTCCCATGTTGGTCCAATAAATCAGAGATGCTGGAAGAGGGAATGGACTGTTCCATGTTGGTCCAATAAATCAGGAATGCTGGAACAGGGAACGGGCCGTTCCACACCCGTCCAATAAATTGGGAATGCTGTAACGGGGACTAGGCTCTCCCATGTTGGTCCAATAAATCGGGAATGGTGGAACAGGAAATGGGCCATTCCATGCCAGCCCAATAAATCAGGAATGCTGGAACAGGCAGTGAGAGCAAACAACAAGGAGGTGCCAAACAAGAAGTAGGAGAAAGATCAGGAATGCGAAGGGGCCCATGGAAGCACTGACCCCTCACGCTCATGGCAGTGGATTTGGGCATTCCCGGGATTCTCTGGAGGTTCAGTTGCGCTCAGCAGGGCCCGCAGGAGCCGCGGAGGAGGCGGCTGAAGCGGCGCGACGTGGAGGGGCCGCAGGAGCCGCTGGCCAGCGCCGAGATCCCATATCCAGAGCGGGCACCGTATCCCGGGAAAGCCCCGGAGCCGTAGAGACCCCCATAGCCCAGAGAGCCCCCAAAGGCCGGGACTCCAGCAGATCCCACCACGGCCTGCTGCGGGAAGGAGCTGAGGATGGGGCCGGGGAAGGTGACCACCACCGGGGGCGGCTGGATGAGGGCGGTGGAGTCCGGACACTGCCGGACGCACGGCTCGTTGCAGCTGTTGGCCACGGGCTGCGGGCAGGAGATGCCACCGGTGGTGGGGCAGAGGTCGTAGCAGGACATTTCCCGGCAGAGGTGGAGGTTCCTGGAATGCAGAGAAGGAGCTGCTGAAAACCGAGGGTCTGCGGAAGGGGCAGGTGGGGGTTTGGGGGAGCTGGGAAATGGGGGGAAACATCCTCGGGGGAAAAATTGGGGTGGGACAGGAGCAGGTTTGGGTTGAGAGAGGGATGGGATGGGAGATGGAGATGGGATGGGATGGGATGGGATGGGATGGGATGGGATGGGATGGGATGGGATGGGATGGGATGGGATGGGATGGGATGGGATGGGATGGGATGGGATGGAAAAGGAATGGAGATGGAAATGGAGTGGGATGGAGACAGAAATGGAGTGAGATGGAGATGGGATGGAGATGGAAATGGGACGGGACAGATATGGAAATGGAGTGGGATGGAAATGGGATGGAGATGGATATGGGATAGGATGGAAGGAACACAATTCCTTCGTCAAATAAAAATAAGGATTTAAAACATTTTTCCACCTGGATATCTGGGCATAAAAGCCTTTGGTTTCATGGTTTTTCCCAGTAAAAAGTAGAAATATTATTTTATTCACTGAATCAGAGTACAAGTCTACTTTCCTTCTTTTTGGCTGTGGTGAAAATAACTAAATAATTAAATATTTTTATGTTTTTATATTTTTATATTTTTATATTTTTATATTTTTATATTTTTATATTTTTATATATACAAATGACTAGAATTTAAATAAACTCTTTCTTCAGCTGGATCATTTCACAGCTCAGGGCATGGGCAAATTTCCTCGATTCAGTCACAGACTGAAATGTGGGAAAATTCAGCATTTTAAAGCTTGTGCCATCCTGAATTTTCATTCTGCTGTCAGTCCAAGAATGGCCAAATAGGAGTAACAGGGAAAAAAGATCATCCCTAAATGAAAAATGCCTCAAATGGATTTGGCTCCTAAATCCTTGCAGCAAAATATTTTCCAGGATACTGGAAAAAAATGGAAATTTAAAGAATAAAAATAAGAATAAAGGGAAAATAAAGCACTGAAAATGAATGTAATGGTTGTGAACAGTAGCTGGAATAAAAAATCAAATAGCAAAAGCATTCTGGAGCTAGGAGAGGAATGAAAACACATCGGACTTACCTGATGGAGAGGAGAAAAGCAGGAGAATGATGGAAAAGGTGCGCAGAGCTGCTGCTTTTATACAACCCTGGGATGCCCCGGGGCTGAACACGCCGAGTCCGGGAGTCGCCACCTCAGAGGATCCCGAATCACTCCCCAAAGTGACGAAACTCTCCTCGCTTTGCACAACCACCCTGAATCTCTGCCCAGCACATTCCAGCTGCCGGCTCCCTTTCATCTCGGATCCTGACGGATCAGCTCCATCCCTCCCAGCGGGAATTAAATCCCATTTGCTGAGCCCTTCCTTCATTAGCTTCATTAATGACTTTAATCGGAGTCAAAACCTGCTGCCGTGCACAGGTTTGGGGGGTTTGGGGCTCCGGATCCCGGCTCTCATCACTTCTGCTCCCGGATTTTGCAATGGAATGCTTGGAGAGGTGCAAGGAGCCTCATGATGGGTTTTGCATCCACAGCCACAAACCTCAGGTCGTTTTGGGAATCCTGGATTTGCCTGCTGGGATTGGGAAATCCCCGATTTTCCTCAAGGCAGAAAACACAATATTTTAGTAGCTAAAACAGGGCTTCAATCAAAGTTTTGTTGTTTTTTGTTGTGTTTTTTTTTTTTTGTTTTTTTTTTTTTTTTTTCTGGAGGGATATCAGTGTTTTTTCCACAGATGAACATCACCAGGTCCCACTTTAAAACCCCTCATTTGCTGTGGATGGGTTATTAAATAAACACATTCCTACCAAAGTTACACTGAAATTGGGAGGTTCTTTCCCCCAATCTTTGGGATGTCCCCAGTGGATTGTAAGAATAATTCCCCCCAAAAAGTATCCAAATATTTTTTGGGTGTGTTTTTAAGCACTTCCCAAAGCTTCCTTAATAGTTTATGTGTGAAATGGGGTGTGATTATTGCAATATAAATATGTGGTTGTGTTCTAACAGCCCAGCATTTTGAAATGTAATTAAAATTAGTCTTATAATTACTATTAAAAATAAAACTTTAAAAAAAATTGTCCAAGTGAACTCTCCCTGTTCCCTTCACCAGCTCATGGCTTCTCACCTCAGAGGATTTTCTCGTCTAATTTAAGTTTTCATTTATTTGGGTGAGTTTCCTCTTCAGTGCTGGTGTTTTAACTCCCATTTTCTCTGTTTGTAGCCTGAACATCTGTGAGACAAAACACGGATCTGGATGGTTTAAAAATTATCTGTAATTTCCTCTGAAAAGTTCTGAATGGTTTTATCCAAGTCCAAATTCCAACTGCACATAAAAGTTGCTGATTTCACAAAGAAGGCACCTAGGTTTTCATCAATTTTCAATCTACCACGGGTGAAGAAGAAAGGAAAAAATCTTGCACCTTCAAGCAGATGAAAATGATGATTAACACCTGAGCCAGCATCATTATGCCAGCTAATGAGAGGTGAATAAATGAAGCAGCAGAATCCGCGCTGTCATTCTGAGTGTATTTCATGGAACGTTACCAGGTGTGAACCTCAGCCAATTAAAATGCTGAGATGAAAGAAATCTTTGGGTTGTAATTTGTGTTTTGTGCAGCGTCAGAATTTGAATCAACTCATAAACAGAAACATTGAGCAAAACTCTTTCGTCACCGCGAGGTGACCCAGGCGTGATAAACGCGTTAATGGGAGCCTCACGGTCTCCAGCAGCTCAGAAGAGTATCAAAAGCCCCTCCTCGATACTGCCTGAAGTTTCACAGAATCCCAGATTTATTTAAGTTGGAAAAGAGCTCCAAGGTCCCCGAGTCCAGCTGGGACCACCCCCCACCTGCTCATCCAGACCAACGTCCAGGAATTCCTCAGACACAGCCAGGGGTGGCCACTCCAACTCTCCCTGGGCAGCCCCTTCCAAGGCCTTTCCAGGAGGAATTTTCCCAAATTTCCAATCCTGGCACAGCTCAAGGCTGTTCCCTCTTGTCCTGTCCCTTTTCCCTGGGGTCAGATCACAAATCCCACCTGGCAGATCCCAAACTCCCCCGAAATCCCCCTTTTTCTCCAGGCTGAGCCCCCTGCAGCTCCCTCAGGATTCTCCATTCCATTTTCCAGCTGTTCCAGCCCTGTTCCCTACCCTGGACGTTCTCCAGCCCCTCCATGTCCCTCTTGCCCAGAACTGGACACCCGATTTTCCCATTTCTGTGAGATTTCCAAGCTTTTCCCTTGTCCCTTAGGAAGCTCTGCTGGGTGACAGCCATGCTTGCATCACCTGATGACCGTCACATTTCCCGATGACCAACTCAAGGATTGTCCTGACCCGAGGGTGGTGGCTCAGCCACCATCCAGCGTCATCGCACGGATCCTTTGTCCCTTCCCTCTGGAAGCACCGCGGGATCTCTTTAGAGCCTGGCTTAAACCCTGCTTAAGGGCTCCTTTTGTGACTGGAGCTCTTCTTACCCTTCTCTTCACCACCACAGAGTTTTCTGACTGATTTAACAGGTCCTGGCAGGAGGTAAACAGATTTTCTGACTCATTTATCAGGTCCTGGCAGAAGGCAGACAGATTTTCTGTCTGATTTTTCAGGTCCTGGCAGGGCGTAGAACATTGACTCCGTCTGTCATTTGGATACCGCTGGGAAAGCTCTGGGCTCTGCTGGGAGTCATTCAATTTTGCGGCAGGTTTTGCCTCTTTTAAATTCACATTTTCCCTTCAGCTTTCTGGTCAGAAGTTCTCTAAACGTGTTGATGTTCAACAAATCTTTTGGCTGCAGGAAAATGCGTACCCTGAGATCTTTTGGCAGCTGAACCAGATGAGGAAAACTCCTCGTGAGATAAGGATCTGCCTGAATCAGGAGGTGGCTTTGTGCTTTGCTGATGACATAAGAAGATAACAACATTTATGGTGGAGTACTTTAGGGTTTTAGGCTACTTATAAATTATGGACACAAATTCTACTTCTATTTAATATATAAATAAATTAAACCCATGTTTTTGATGATCTCCAAGGCTCTTCCAACCCAATTCTGTGATTCTATGACCACTCATGAGGTCCTTGTTGTGGATTTGAAGAAGTTCCCTCTGCACACAGGGCTCAACACATAGAGGAAAACTTCTGCTTAACTTTGGCTACCATGCTGTGACCACGTTGCAATTCCATAAATGTAAATTTACTGAAATTGTAAATTCATGGGTAAAACAGCCCCATGGGAGGCTCTCCATGGAGAATTTCCCCTCTGGGCAGGGTTTGCTCAATGTTTTTGCAGCCTCATGCAGAGCAGGGAGCTTTGCCCATCTAGGTTGGCAAACTCAGGGGTGGGTGAGAACACAAAAGCCCAACACGAGGATTTTCAGTGATGCAACAGTTTTAATGAGAATGAAAAGAACACAAACAACATGGCAACATCAGGATTGTAAATGCAGGCAGAGCTTGAAAGACACTTCAGTCTGTCACTGCATTCAGCCACAGGGGTGATAAAGAAGATAACGAGGAATTGAACTCAAAGAGGCACCAGAAAAGAATTTAAAGGGAAGAAAAATCTGCATTTTGCTTTGCTCTTCTACATCATCCAGAGCGTTTTCTGTAGGGTTTAGCAGATCCCCCAGAAGCCGCGGCCGTAGCGGCCGTACCAGGAGGAGTAGGGGCTGCAATAGCCGGAGCCAAAAGCTCTGCCATACAGGCCCCGGTACCCACCGCAGGAACCCAGACCCCCATAGCCCCACAGACCCCCGTAGCCCAGGGATCCGTAACCCCCATATCCATAGAGACCCCCATAGCCCAGGGACCCATAGCCCCCATAGCCCAGGGAGGCTCCGGAGGCCGACAGGACGGGAGCTCCAGCAGATCCCACCACGGAATCCTGCGGGAAGGAGCTGAGGATGGGGCCGGGGAAGGTGACCACCACGGCGGGAGGCTGGATCACGGTGGTGGAGTCGGGGCACTGGCGGACACACGGCTCGTTCCCGCTGTCAGCCAGGGGCTGGGGCCGGAGGACGCCACAGGCAGAGGAGGGGTACAGGTCGTAGCAGGCCATCTTGCAGGGATTGGAGGTCAGTGGACACTGAGGAGTGAGCAAAACGCAGAAATTCAATTGTTAAAAGGTTTGACAGTTGGACATGCAGTTGAAAATAATTGTTATGTCTCAAGTCTTGGTTGTCCTTGGTTCTCATCAGTGTTTTTTATAAATCACTTGCTCTCTGAGCTGTCGTCTCTCCTAGGGTCTCATTCCTAATTTCTTGTACTTTGTTCCCACCTTGAAAACCCATGGAAAATTCTTATTGGCTCAACAAACCTTCTGCAAGTCTTTGGAAGCTGCTTTGGTAATTTTTCTAATTTCTACTAAGAAGAAAGAATGGTTTTACCATTTCAAACTTTTGAATGTCCAGCACCATCTAAAAATAATCTATCACAAAATAACCCAATTATTAAGAATCTTAGAAGCCTTACGGATGATCCCAACCTTGATTAAGAACAGCAGAAAAGAGAGATTGGAATTTTCTAAAGGAAAAATTCTAAGGGAAGAGATCCCTTAGAATGGTGCTTACCTTTCTCACTGAGGTGAATGAAGCACGGAAGGCGATGTGAAGAGCCCCGGGTTGGGAGAGCTTTTATACCATTCCCAAAATCCTGGGGAACATCTAAGGTGCAATTTGGGGATGTGCATAATTGGGGCAAACCCAAATGAATGTGACACGTAGCGCCTCAAAGTTCTGCTGACTCTTTGTTTATTTGCTGGTCCGAAGTCTCATGAAATGTGATAGGTGAGTTTCATCAGAGAGCCCTCTTTCATCTGGAATGGTGACAAGCCATCCTCATTCCTGTTATCATTCCATTCACAGCCCTGGCGTTACAGCAGGAATTATCCCAACGCTCTTCTGGAGCTTCTCCATCATTAATGACAAGACCCGTCTGCTCGCTTGGGGTCACCTGATCTGCAGAACTTTTTTTCCATTAAAAAACAAAATACTTGGAGAATAAATTATTTACAGCCACTTTGGGGTGGTCATTTTTATCACTATTACTCTACACTTAATGTGAGAACAATATGGAACATAAAGGAAGACATGGAAAGCATCCTGTGGTCCTTAAATGTTTTTTGTTACAGAATCTTGGAATTATTTGGGTTGGAAAAGCCGTCCCAGACCATCAAGTCCAAGCTGTAACCAACCCTCAGCCAAGGCCATTCCCTGTTTTCCTGTCCCTTGTTCCCTGGGACCAGAGCCTGTAGATGTCCCATCCCTGGAATTGTTTTTGAATAAAATACGGTTTTCATTAATTTCTGGGTTTTATTCAGAATCTTTTATTTCAAATCCTTATTAATTGGGAGAAAACCTGAAGGGGAACAAACCCCCATTATTTGGCCTTGAACTGATGATACCAAGGACACAAATATCTTGACTGAAGCATTTGAATGTGATGTCATTCCATAATTGTGAGGCACCTAAATCCAGCTCCGTGCCTTTAATCTACTGGACCATCTACAGGATTTGCATGGACTCCCTCCCTGGAAGCTTGAAATGGTTATTGTCCAAAAGCCCCTGTCCTCCAAAGGCTGCGAACCCCACCTCACCATTTAGGGCTCACCGATGGCGTGGAGTCTGCAATATTGAAATGGCCCACCCATAAACGAGGCAAGAAGGAGCCTTTGTGTCACACATTCCAAATTCCTGATTGTTCCCTCATCCCAAAACTTCCAGCTCAGCCCTTTTTGGGATTTATGACTTGCGTATCACAGGAGCTCATGAATTTCTAAGAACCCAAGGCTATAATTCAAAGCACTTGCATCACGTTTAGACTTTTGCACCAGAGGATCAATTTTTTCCTAAAAGATCCCACGTTTCCTCAGGCCCGTTCAATGTTCTCAGGTGCCATCTTTGTCCAGAAAACATCGGACCCTCAACACCAGGGAAAAGTCTCTTCAGGACCTCCAATCCCTTGCGGCTTTAGTTAACTTCGTGAATTCGTCCTTTGTTTATCTCCCAAACCCAAACAAGCCTCAGGAAGACAAAGGTTCCTCTCTGTCTCCTCCATGGAACTCTGTGGACTTGGCTAAAATTAAGGATTTCACTGTTTGTCCTGCTCAGGATTAAATTCCTGTGGAATTGGTGATTCCGATGAACGCATGAGCTACTCTCCAGGTATTCACTTAATACCAAGAGGAGCTGGCTTGGTGATTCCTGACGTAATTCCAAGGAAGTGACAGGAATAATGCCGGGTATTAATCTCCCCCCCAAGTCGTCACAAGATGAAAGAATTCTCTGTAATCTCAGGTGATGTTTAGATCATTATTATAAACAAATTTGAAAGGCCTCATAAACGCCAATAATGAACCAAACAATTTCATCATCCTGATGGTTGCATGAGCTCAAAATTGGGGCGGGCAAGAGATGCTGATCTGGTACCTCCAGCTGATATAAAAGCTCCTCTGTCTCCTCGCTCCTCCAAACGCTTCCCTTGACTTCTTCAAGACTTAGGTAAGTCTGAACCTTCTCCATTGCTCTCGGTGTATTTTTTATTGTTGGTTTCAACTCGAGTTGATGTCCAGCATCCTTTCTGTTGGGTGAATCTGCATGGACTTGGGAAAGATCAAGGAGCTTTCTGTCCTTTTGGTGTGTGGAACTCTCTGTGGAGTTCTTGCTGTCAGGAACTCCAGACCTTGGAGAAGCTGGACCGTGCTCCGAGGTGACAGGATCTCCTCCCCTGTGGGGCCAGGCTGGGAGAGCTGGGAATGTTCAGCCTGGAGGAATGGAGGATCTGCAGGGGTTCCAGGGAAGCTGGAGAGGGACTTTCCTCAGGAACTGCAGGGACAGGACACGGGGAATGGGGTCAGACTGACAGAGGGGAACTTTAGGTTGGATATTAGGAAGAAATATTTCCCTGTGAAGGTGGGGAGGCCCTGGCACTAGATATTCCATGGATTCTCCATCCTTGGGAGCACCCAAAGTCAGTTGGGATGGGACTTGGAGTAACCTGGGATAGTGGGAGGTGTCCCTGCCCATGGAGGGGGTGGGACTGGATGATCTTAAGGGTGTCTTCCAAACCAGGCAATTCCACGGTTCTCTGGCTTAGCTGTAAATAACCCTGCAAAGAGCAGGGAGTTGGACTTGAGCCTTTTGAGTCACTTCCAGCTTGAGGAAGCCTGTGATTCTCTGAACCTCATTTTGATACCTTTAACCCATCTCAACCTTTGCATAAAAGGTTCAAGGTTTGACGAGGGTGTCACCCCTGCAGCCATTCACATATGATAAAGTAATTTGTGTCCTGCTACCAAAAATCCTCAGGCTCTCCTTCACCTCACTTTCAAGTTCCTCCTCAGAACTCGGTTAAGGATTTACAGAACATCTTTGGAGATTTGTTCTTTGTTGTCTTGTCAAATGCCTTTCTGGGTGCTCACAATCCTATAATCTTGTTGTTCCCTTGACTCTCAGCAAAATTGGGATGAGTGGGAAGATGAAGCTACTGTAATTAAGTTCTCTATAAGCTCCATCTCATGCAAACCTGCTGAACCCAAATCTGAGTTTTGCTAATGACTCATCCAATGACCTTGGACAAAGTCACTTTGTTCTCACTGGTTTTGATTCCAGGTTTTCAGTTTAATGTGGAGAAATCAGTCCTAGTCCTTTGCAGGATGTTATGAGGGACAAAGTTTTTAGAACATTTCCTATTTGTTCTTGTGTGTGGACACCCTTTAGAGAATTTTTGGAAAAAAACACTTTGTGGAAACAAGAGAGCACTGAGATTGCAAAATGCTCAGAACACTTACTTGTTATTTTAATTTAAATAGCTGAATTTTGAACTCCTTGTTTTCTTTTTTAGTCTGTGTCAACCTCCAATCCCTGCAAGATGGCCTGCTATGACCTGTACCCCTCCTCTGCCTGCGGCGTCCTCCGGCCCCAGCCCCTGGTTGACAGCGGGAACGAGCCGTGTGTCCGCCAGTGCCCCGACTCCACCACCGTGATCCAGCCTCCCGCCGTGGTGGTCACCTTCCCCGGCCCCATCCTCAGCTCCTTCCCGCAGGATTCCGTGGTGGGATCTGCTGGAGTTCCTGTCCTGCCGGCCTCCGGAGCCTCCCTGGGCTATGGGGGCTATGGGTCCCTGGGCTATGGGGGTCTCTATGGATATGGGGGTTACGGATCCCTGGGCTACGGGGGTCTGTGGGGCTATGGGGGTCTGGGTTCCTGTGGTGGGTACCGGGGCCTGTATGGCAGAGCTTTTGGCTCTGGCTATTGCAGCCCCTACTCCTCCTGGTACGGCCGCTACGGCCGCGGCTTCTGGGGGATCTGCTAAACCCTGAGGAAACATCTCGGAGTAAGGAATCACCGGCAATGGAGAGATACAATCCTGGCCCCAGAGGAGGTGTTGTGACCACAGCCACCCCACTCCAGTGGAGCTGGAAGCAAACAACTCCTCCTTGATTTGTTCACCTTCTACTTGTCATCTTCTGGGCTTTTTTTCCCATTTGTGTATGTAACATGTGGGATAAAATAATAATTTATCTTCTTCTAAAATGCAACTTCACTGTCCAACTGGAGAAGAGCAACCATGGAAGGAGTTTCCTGTGATCTGATATTCTTCATACTCTGCAATGCTTTTCTGTGAATGCTTTTTTTCTCAATAAAGTGATTCTGTTCTGCAAAAAACAAACAAAGTTTTAGTTTCAATTTCTCTGGCTGTGGGCTTGCAACACTTCTCTCTGTGCGGGGTGGGAGGGTGGGGAGGGGGAATTCAAATCCTTACAATAGGCTGAGGTTCAGATCTCAAAACCACCTGGAATGCCTTAGCTGGGAGTGAAGTCAGTCCCCGTTCCTTGATCCAGAATTTGGGAGCAGAAATCCTCCCAAATTTTCCCTCCCCAGCTGTCCTGGGGCACAAAAATAACATTACAGAGTCATAGACTCATGGAATGGGTTGGATTGAAAGGACCCTAAAGATCTTCTCCTTCCACCCCCACCATGGGCAGGGACACCTCCCACTAAACCAGGTTGCTCCAGCTTGGCATTGAACACTTCCAGGGATGGGCCAACCAGAAATTCCCAGGAAAACTTGTACCAGGGCCTATCCACCCTCACAGAGAAAGATTTCTCCCCTGAATCCTCCCTAAATTTGCCCTCTGTCAGTTTGAATCCATTCTCCCTTGTCTTGTCTCTCCAGTTCCCTCTCCAGCTTCCCGGTAGATCGTGGAAGGTGGAACCTCACCAGAACAAGAAGGGTGCATTTTTCTCACAGGTTACGGTATTTCCTACCTTTTAGTTTTTCCAGGTACCATCTTCCCAAATTTTCTCTTCTCCAGTTTTTCTTGCTGGTGTGAATGAATACTTGAAGAAATTGTTTTTCTGACAAAAGCCATACACCACTTTACATTTCGACATTTCATGATTATTCAGAAAGATTTCAAATTTCAAAGTTTCACTCTGTAGCCCAGAAAACTTTATTTAAAAATTTGACAGGAAATTGATTTAATTTTTTGCTGAGGTTGTTCCTGAGGACAGAGTTTAAGAATTTGACTGAGGAAATATTTGAGTCAGAACATGAAGTTCAAAGGGATGAAAACTTTACTTGGAAGAAATTCATACAAAAAATTAATCTTCCCTGGTTTTTTTTGGGCAGGACATTCATCCCCATGGTTTAGGGACCATGGATGGTTTAGGTTGGATGAAGCTCTGAGCCACCTGGGCCAGTGGGAGGTGTCCCTGCCCATGGCAGGGCGTGGAATGAGATGAGCTTTAAGATCCCTCCCAACCCAAACATTCCAAGATTCCAGGATATTTTAGGCTGCTACTGACACCGGCACGGGTGAGGCTTCTCCAAAGGCAAATAACCTTGGTGAAAACAGGAGAAAAGAACACCAGAACATGGCAACTTTGATGCAATAAACTTTTAATGACAACAAGCACAGTAATGCATTTGCAGAGTCTCCAAGAAGTAAGAAACTCTTCTCCAGCCAGAGGCACATTCACATGTGATTGATTCAGGTTCTCTTCTGAATCTCAGCTGTTGATGTGAACAAGCAGGACCCATTTTGAGCCCCTTTGTTCCATATTTACCCCAGGCAACACAGAAATGGAGCGGGACAAGATTTAGGCAGAAGCAGAAAAAGGAGAAATCTAAAAGGGGCTGGGCAGTTACAAATCCATGGTTTTGAGATGGAGCAGCAGTGGTTCCAAGCTCTTTGGCTGTGAAACCATCACATTTCTTCTGTTGGTGAAACCTCTCTTGGGGTTTTTCCCTCGGGTTTAGCAGGAGCCGCAGCTGCCACGGCGGTAGCGGCCGTAGCGGGAGGACCAGGGGCTGCAGGAGCCAAAGGATCTCCCAAAGCCATACAGGCCCCGGTACCCACCACAGGAACCCAGACCCCCATAGCCCCACAGGCCCCCGTAGCCCAGGGATCCGTAACCCCCATATCCATAGAGACCCCCATAGCCCAGGGACCCATAGCCCCCATAGCCCAGGGAGGCTCCGGAGGCCGGCAGGACGGGAGCTCCAGCAGATCCCACCACGGAATCCTGCGGGAAGGAGCTGAGGATGGGGCCGGGGAAGGTGACCACCACGGCGGGAGGCTGGATCACGGTGGTGGAGTCGGGGCACTGGCGGACACACGGCTCGTTCCCGCTGCCGGCCACGGGCTGGGGCTGGATGACGCCGCAGGCAGAGGAGGGGTACAGGTCGTAGCAGGCCATCTTGCAGGGGTGGGAGTTAATCTGTGGAAGGTGTTAATTTCTATTAATTTTTAAAGAATAGCAAACTTTAGGTTGTGCTGAAGCAGTCCAAGAGAATCAGTAATAAATCTCGGAAGTAAATGTATTTCCTTTTCTCATTTTTCCTGTGGCTGTGATCTCCAGGCTACTCTTGACTTCAGCCCAAAACAGTCTGTACTCTTCAGTTGTATCTTTGAATTTCCAGATCTGGTAATTTCATCAGCATTACATTACTCTTAGCTGCTGATTTCCACTCAGATTTTATCTTTCCTGTTACAAACTCAGCAAAGCTCTACCAAATACTGGCATATATACAGGCTAGTCTTTATCTCCTAAAGTACAGGCAAGTATTTGGAGTGTTAAAACAATACAATTTTGGGGTTCAATACCACTTAGTGAATCCCTGTCCTGAAAGACCTAGAGATAAATGAGAAATTAAACACCAAATACCCTACCGAGCAGCAGCAGCAGCCTGACTGCAACCAGATTTCTTGACAGAAAGTTCAATTTAGGGAAGCTTGAGACAAAAGTGACTTACCTGGTTCACGAAGGCAGAACAGGTGTGAGAAGTGGATGGAAGGACCTGGTGCAGACACCTTTTATAGAGCTCCCTGCTTGCCCACAGGGCACTGGCCACCTGATGCGCCAGTTCATAATTAGGTCCCAACCCCAAATTGCAGGACACATAATTCCCCAAAGTGCTGAAATTGTCTTTGCTTATTGCTGGTGCATTTCAAACCCACACACAGCATGAGCTGCACATTCCACCCCAGACATCTATTGTCTCCGGGCTTTATGTGGGGAATTATTTTTTATGATCCCATTGCTTTCCTTAGCGTTAGGGGAGGAAACAAAGCTGACTACATTTATTTATGAATCCTTCATAATTGGGATGACTGAAGGACACTGGTTTTGTCCACGTAAAGGTCCTTGAGTGAGATCAACAGGAGACACGCTGCCAATGGAGTTTCTTTTAGGACCTCAAATGAGGACTGGGGACAAATCACAAAGGCAAAAACATTGGTTCTGCAGGCTCAGCATTTCTCCCTCCACCTACTCAAGGCAAGGCAAGTACAACAATCGGGAGCATCTTTGAATGGACTTTATACCATAAAATGCTAACATGGAATGGTTTGGGTTGAAAAAAACCTTAAAGATCATCCAGTGGCACCTCCTGACATGGGCAGGGACACCTTCCATAGACTAGGGTGCTCCAAGCCCCGTCCATCCTGGCCTTGGAAATTTCCAGGGAGGGGCGATCCGTGGAATATCTGTGCCTGGGACTCTTCACCCTCACAGGGTGCCCAATTCCTGCCCAATATTCCATCTAAACCTCCTCTCTGTCAGTTTTAGTCCATCCCCTCTTTTCCTGCCAATTCAACCCTTAGAAGAAGCCTCTCTCCATGTTCCTTCTTAAACTCTCCACTAGTTCTCTTCCAGTCCCTGGAAACAGAGAAATATTTCACCTGGCAGCCACAATTCCATGGAAATTGAGTTTTCTGAGTTGTTTCATTGAGCTTTCCTTTCCTTTCTTGTGTTTTCCCCTCCTATTCTTACATGTTAGAAACACGACATTCTGTGTATTAAATAAAAAATAGATTTTATTCTTAAGGTCAAAGACATAAAGGTCAATGTTATAAACCAAGAGCTGATTATGGGAAAAACCCAAGTGGCCTCAATTTATGCATTTTAATGGGATAATCTCCTGTAATTGTGGTATGTTTACACCCAGGCACAGATTTTATATAACTCTGACACAGTAGGAACAAGTCAGTAATGGGTGTTCAGGAGGCGCTTGAAAATCCCTTGGAATGTTCTTGTAAACTTGGAGATGATTTTTTTTTCCCCAGGATAATGGCTCGGGAAATCCCCATATGTATCCCCAGATTTGAAAAAGCTCATAATTTATAAATAATACATGGTGTGAAGATAACCACGTAGGTGATTATGATAACGATGATAATGATAGAGTAGGACGATCGTGGTGTAAACAGAGAGAGAAACCTCAGCAAATCCAACATTTGCTCTTCCCAGCAGATTCCCACTTCGTAATTACTCTGTGCTGAAAGATGATAACAAGGATGGGATTAGTTGCAAGATCCTCTCTAAAAAAAAAAGGGGTTTTATTTCCACTACAGCTAAATTTGGGATTTCTCCTATAAGGAATCATGGAATGGTTTAAAATTGGCAGGGACCTCAAAGACCCTCTTGTTCCAACACCTGCATGGACAGGATTGACTGTCAATCCAAACCAGCCTTGAACACTTCCAGAAATTGAACCATCTCAATAAAACATAGATTTTATTATTAATTCAATGTACACTCTGATTATTTTGAGCTTTCCATTCTAATCCTTAAAATCATAAATATCTCTCCCTTCAGAACTAAACTCAAGTTTAAACTGTGGCTTAAGGGTCAGAAAATACATAAGACATTTCTGGATATTTGTGTCCCCAAAGCATTCTAGGAGTTTTTTAATCTTTGTAAATGTCTGAGCATAATTGTCTTATAAGACAGGACAAGAATATTTGTGTATAAACAGCTCAGTACAGGGTGTCACTCCAGAAAACTGACACTAATTCGTGAATCATGTTTTAGGATGAAAGATGCACCAATTTCAACCCATCAGCATTTCAGCTCAAAGGACCTCGTGTGATGTAACGCGGCATTTAAAATCGAGAATAAACAAAAAGAGCAACAATGTCATCACTTTGAGGAGCAATCAATACAAAAAAATGTTCTGTGTCAACTAATGAGTTCCTCTGAGCCCTCAGGCAAATCTGAACTGTATAAAAGCTGTCTCCACTTGGGGTTCTCCCAAACGTCTTCCCTTCACTCGTTCTTCTCAACGACTTGGTAAGTTTGAAGCTGCTCTTTGCTGCTTTTGGAGTCTCTCTTTGCTACTTTTGGAATCTCTCTTTGCTGTACAATTCATCCGGGGTGCTCTCTTCCATTGGGAACTCGTAGGCAAAATTTGAGGTGAAGAGGTAAACCTTGCAGAAACCTTATGGAAGGCGGCTCTCTGCTTTCGAGGTTGACATTCCGTTTCAAACCAAACCGAAAGTCTCTTATCAGAAAATTCTGCTGGATTTTGGGTTGCCTTCACCAGTTGCATCCATAATGTGAAAGGTTCAGTGTTTATTCCGATCCTCTGTTTGGTTAAATGGGTGACTGGAAAGATTTGGAAAGTTTAAATCTTCCTGGTTCACAGGGAAATGTTGAGTTTAGAGGCAAATATTCGATTAGATCCAGTTTGTTCTATTACAAATCAATTGAAATGCTTTTAATTCAAGATAAATGGGCATGAACACCCCAAGAGACCAGGCACTGGCTTGGAGTAGGACACAGAGAAGAGCTGAAAACTGTTTAAAACACTCTGTATTACATTTTTTAAGATTAAAAGGGATCCTGAAAGGAACTTAAGGAGCTGAAATGTGAAGCACTGGGTTTTCCAAGTTAATGAGAGCAAGTGATTTGGTGTGAGAATTTTTCAAAAGAGTTCATAGCCCAAGATCAAAATGGGGGATCATTGTAGGGATCTCAAAGCCCTGATTCAATGTTTGGAAATATGGGATAATTATCCTTGCAATTCCCTTGTAATGGTCTCATCCAAGAAGCTACGAGAGAATCTGAACAGACAATGAGTTATAATCCTGGTTTTGACAAGGATCAGCACAAAGGAGATCAGTGGGAATGAAGAGCCAGAGTCATAATTCCTGAAGAACAACACACTCCACTCCTGGAGTAGAGTCCCTCTCCTTGTTGATCCCCTGACTCACCAAAGTGCCCCAGCAGATAATTTTGCTTGTTCTTATTCGATTTTCATCTCTAAGAGATGTGGGGAAATTCTGGTACTTAAAAGCTCTCCTTTCTGGGGAAAAGCATCCAGCCCCAGAGCCTTTTTCTGCTGGAAATAACATCTTGTTCTTGCTCCAATCAACTCTTGCAGATCAACCTCCAATCCCTGCAAGATGGCCTGCTACGACCTGTACCCCTCCTCTGCCTGTGGCGTCATCCAGCCCCAGCCCGTGGCCGGCAGCGGGAACGAGCCGTGCGTCCGCCAGTGCCCCGACTCCACCACCGTGATCCAGCCTCCCGCCGTGGTGGTCACCTTCCCCGGCCCCATCCTCAGCTCCTTCCCGCAGGATTCCGTGGTGGGATCTGCTGGAGCTCCCGTCCTGCCGGCCTCCGGAGCCTCCCTGGGCTATGGGGGCTATGGGTCCCTGGGCTATGGGGGTCTCTATGGATATGGGGGTTACGGATCCCTGGGCTACGGGGGCCTGTGGGGCTATGGGGGTCTGGGTTCCTGTGGTGGGTACCGGGGCCTGTATGGCTTTGGGAGATCCTTTGGCTCCTGCAGCCCCTGGTCCTCCCGCTACGGCCGCTACCGCCGTGGCAGCTGCGGCTCCTGCTAAACCCGAGGGAAAAATCCTCTACTCGGCAAATGACACCTGTGGATCCTCACCTGAGCTCCTGAGGAAGGGGAAGAGCATCAGAACTTGACTTCAGACCATGGAGTCAGAACCCCTCTAGAAATTCTCCTTTTTGTTTCCTCCTTCTTTTGTTCATTCTCCTCTTCCCCACCCCTTCCAATGGCCAAATGTGCGGCTCCACCGTCCTCTGGCTTCTCCCTGAAATTCCTGCCTCCTGCCTCAAGGCTGAGGGAGTAGCTTTAGTGAGGAAAAACCTGCTTGTCTTTGCCTCCTGTGTCCTCACCCAGTGGGGCCTTCCCTGCCCTTGCAATAAAAAAGTCCTGCATACAACACCTGCCTTTGTGTTTCCTGTTAAGCCCCAGAGTGGGATTCCTCCCCATCAGAACCAGGCTGAGATGCTTTTGGTCAGACCTGCAGCTGAGAGTCCTCTCTGCCTTACACTAATTATTCCAGTTGTCAGACTTCCAGTAGTAATTCTAATTATTTCCATCCAGTCTGGCGCTGGAACAGGGAACTGTCCCATCCCCAAGGCTGCCAGAGCTCAAGGACAATGTTCTCAGGCAGAGGGTGGGATTCCTGGGGTGCCTGTGCAGGGCCAGGAGTCAGAATCAATCCCTGTGTGGCCATTCCAACCCAGGATATTCCATGGCTCTTTTCTCAAGGTGTTAATTTAGTACTGCAATTCCTTTTAATTTTACCTCTTCCAGGCAATGTATTAGAAATCAGCCAACTGCCTTCAAAGACAAAACCAAAAAATACCGCCTGAAGTTCTGCCAAAGCACCTTCTGAAAAGGAATGATAGGAGGAAGGTGAACAAAGGGAAACAATTTCTGAGATAGGTATCTGATGAGCAAAGATGAGGCACTACCTTCTCTTTTTTTGTTAATCACTGCCATCATAAATTGCCTCGGGGAGGGTTTGGCTGAACCTGTCAGCAGGTGAGGTAAAAAGAACGTGAACTGATGCATTAGAGAGGATTTACCTCTTCCTTCACTGGGACTCTTTCAAAGAAAATATCTTAATCAGTGTCAAGGAACAGCAGATCTTATTTTTCACAGGTAATTTCAACATTCCTCCTTGTGTTGGACTGGATCTGTCAGATGGCCGTGGGCAATAAATTGAAATGAAAATTAGCCCATGGTACTTGTGAATGATGCTTTTATTCTCACAAAACAAGACGTAATTTTATGGGTAAACAAACACTTATTTGAGAATATTTTGACAAAAAAAAAAAAAAAAAAAAAAAAAAACCCACAGAATTGTTTAGGTTGGAAAAGACTTTTGAGGTCATCCAAGCCATGCCAGATTCCCACCTGGTCACCAACCCCAACATCCAGGAATTCCTTGGACATCTCAAGGGATGGGAATTCCAAACCTTCCTGAGCTCCTTCCAAGGTCTGACTGCCCTTTCCAGGAGGAAATTCCTATGTCCAACCTGAATATTCCCTTCTGCATCTCCAAAAGCTCTCCCCAGGCAGGTTCTCATCTCTCTCCTTGCTTCATCCTTCCTGTCCCCTTTCCCCTCATCCGGGGCAGCTCCTGGAACAACTTTACAAAACACGGATGCTTTTCCCTCCTTTTCTCTTCTGATCTTTGCTTCCAGCCGCAGCCTCCAAGAGGTGCTTGGGTGTAAATCATGAGCCCAGCCAAACACCTGAGCTGCGACTGCCAAATTTCACCCGATCCTCTCAGCCAGGCAGTGGCAGGCAGGTACCAGCCTAATTAGGTGTTGTGTCAGACAAGTGTTAAGCCCAAGATAACGCCCCTGAAGAGAGCCATTAACACCTAGGGAACAATGATTACACAGCTTTAATTTGGGCTGGATGCCTGCTCAGAGTGAGCTCATGTCTGATTGCAAAACCCAACAAAGGGCTGACCTTTCTCTCAGTGTCTAGGCGGGAATTACGCACAAAGATCCATCCTGAAAAACATCTAATTATTCATTTGCATTCCTGGCATTGGCACATCTTTCGGGAGCCCTGATAACAGAAAGCTGAGTGGCACTGAGCAGGAAGGAATCAGAGTTTCAGACTGGAAAAACGAGGTGGCTGAACTGCTGGGAGCAGCAGTAACAGAGTGACCATCATGGGACGGGGCAGAGCTGGGTGCCTGCTGAATGCGGGGAAAGGAGGTGGTGCAATGGCCAGGAAACTTCCCTGTCCCACCTTCCAGGAGCCATCTCAGCATCCCAGGAGCCAGGAAAGCACCTCCAACATCATCAAGTCCAACCCAGGACCGATTCCCACCTTGGCAACCAGCCCAGAGCACTGAAGGTCACATGCAGGAACCATCTGAGCCACCACTGGCTCCAGTGACCAGTGGATCCAGTGACCTCAGCTTGAGCCCCCACACCTTTCACAGTCCCAGCCACACAAGGATTTTTCACTGCCTCAACCCCAGGTTTTCCAAAAAGAGTCTCAGACCCCTGGATGCTTAAAATAATTTAATCATGGTGCAAAAAGAGAATAACAGCTCGAGATGGTGACTCCAAGGAGGGACAAATGAAGGGCACGTTGGGATTTCATACCCTCAAAGCCTGAGAATATAAGCTCCTGCTGTGAGCATGAGTGTGCAGTCACTTGGCTGGGCCAGAGGTCCTGTGCCCTTTACATGCTCTGGAGTGAACACACAGAAAGCATAAAATACTGGAGAGCCATGGGAATATGAGTAGAACATGTAAAACCAAGGGAAAGAGACCACTGAATTTCTCTTTCACTGCAAACAGGCCCCAGCCTGTCCAACAGCCAGAGTTAAACCAGGAAAAAACAATGGAACTAATCCTGAATAAAACAAAAGGTAGAACATGAAATGATGCAAACAAGGCAGAAAACACCTGACAAATCGAAGGCCAAAAAATTATATGCGATGCCCAGGTGAAAAATCGAAAGACCAGAACATGCCCTTCAGCTGTAGAGTGCAGAGAATTCCAGAAAAATACACAGAGAGACAGGAGCTGGATGCAGGAAAACTTTATTGTACCAAGAAGGGCAGGAGAGGCAGGGATGGGGACAATGGGCAGGCCCCGGGCAGGCCGGGTGTCACGGGCTGCAGGAGGCCAGGGCAGCTTGTGCCGAGCTCAACTTCTCCATGCTGGGCTGAGGCGGCGGCGGGGTCTGGGGCTGTTGGTGGTGGCTCTAGCAGGGCCCGCAGGTGTCCCAGAGCCTCCTGCTGTAGCGGGGCAAGGCGCAGGGGCTGCAGGCGGCAGCAGCGGAGGCTCTGCCAAAGGTGCAGAGGCCCCCCGAGGCCTGGGTGGCGCCGGCGCCGTAGAGGCCGCCCAGCCCCAGGGAGCCGCCAAAGGCCGGTGCTCCGGAGGAGCCCACCACGGCCTGCTGGGGGAAGGAGCTGAGGATGGGGCCGGGGAAGGTGACCACCACGGGCGGTGGCTGGATGAAGGCAGAGGAGTCGGGGCACTGGCGGGCGCACAGCTCGTTGCAGCTCTCAGCGATGGGCTGGGGCACAGCCACGCTGGTTCTGGGCGGGCACAGGTCCGTGCTGGTACGGGGTGGGCACAGGTCGTAGCAGGACATCTTGGCCTGGGATGCGAGGCTGCTCTGCAAGAGAGGGCAGCCGTGTGAGGAGAGCAGCCCAGGGCAGCGCCCGAGCCACAGGGGCCGGGGCTGGAGCAGGGAGCCGCGAGCAGGAGCGCAGGCACACTTACCCTTGTTCCTGAGGAGGAGAAGGTGGCCAGGGCACTGCTTGGTCCAGGCTGGCCCAGGCAGGGCTTTTATAGCAGCCCTGGCATTGCTCAGCTCCAGCCCGGCCAATCTGCACAGGAGACACTCCCTGCTGCTGCTGCTGCTGCTGCTGACACCAGGGCTGTGCGGCCCCTGCCCCTCCCTGAGTCAGCATCCCCCAGGTGCCACCAAAGCACATCCCAAGGTGTCCAAGTGATCCTGTCCTTGCTGCCCCTTCAGATAATTGATAGCAGGGATTGCACCTGGGAATGGACAGGAACACTGGCCAGGGGCAGAAGTATGTGGGGCAGAAGTGTCTGGGTCCTTCACCGTGGAGTGAATCTGTGCATCACAGGACAACCCAGCAGAACCAGACCCCGTCTGCCTGAACTCAGTGCTCAGGGGGTTCCCCGAAGCTGGGAGCAAAGACTTCTCCAGTGCAGCCTGAACTCCATAGGCCAAAGAGGAGAGATGTCCCTCTGGTCCAGGCTAAGTCCAGCCCTGCTCCACCCCTGTAGATCTTGAAAGATTTTCCTGGAGTCCATTCCTGGGTGCAATCACTGCCACTAATTACTGATGTGACAGAGAGGATGAGATCGTTTGGGCACTTTGGGATGTGCTTTGGTGGTACCTGGGGGATGCTGACTCAGGGAGGGGCAGGGGCCGCACAGCCCTGGTGTCAGCAGCAGCAGCAGTACCAGCAGCAGCAGGGAGTGTCCCCTGTGCAGATTGGCCCAGCTGGAGCTGAGCAATGCCAGGGCTGCTATAAAAGCCCTGCCTGGGCCAGACTGGACCAAGCAGTGCCCTGGCCACCTTCTCCTCCTCGGGAACAAGGGTAAGTGTGCCAGCGCTCCTGCTCGCGGCTCCCTGCTCCAGCCCCGGCCCCTGTGGCTCGGGCGCTGCCCTGGGCTGCTCTCCTCACACGGCTGCCCTCTCTTGCAGAGCAGCCTCGCATCCCACACCAAGATGTCCTGCTACGACCTGTGCCCACCCCGTACCAGCACGGACCTGTGCCCACCCAGAACCAGCGTGGCTGTGCCCCAGCCCATCGCTGAGAGCTGCAACGAGCTGTGCGCCCGCCAGTGCCCCGACTCCTCTGCCTTCATCCAGCCACCGCCCGTGGTGGTTACCTTCCCCGGCCCCATCCTCAGCTCCTTCCCCCAGCAGGCCGTGGTGGGCTCCTCCGGAGCACCGGCCTTTGGCGGCTCCCTGGGGCTGGGCGGCCTCTACGGCGCCGGCGCCACCCAGGCCTCGGGGGGGCCTCTGCACCTTTGGCAGAGCCTCCGCTGCTGCCGCCTGCAGCCCCTGCGCCTTGCCCCGCTACAGCAGGAGGCTCTGGGACACCTGCGGGCCCTGCTAGAGCCACCACCAACAGCCCCAGACCCCCGCCGCCGCCTCAGCCCAGCCTGGAGAAGCTGAGCTCTGCACAAGCTGCCCTGGCCTCCTGCAGCCCGTGACACCCGGCCTGCCCGGGGCCTGCCCCCCGTCCCCATCCCTGCCTCTCCTGCCCTTCTTGGCACAATAAAGTTTTCCTGCATACAACTCCTGTCTCTTTGCCTCCTTTTCTGGAGTCATGAATAACCCTGGGGATGGGGGCGTTCCACAAGTGGGAGGGGAAATGGTGATGTTGGGACGGCTTCAATGGAAAATAGACCAGATGGGGAAGGTGAAAGAGGTGAGGGACGGGGTAAGAGGAGGGTGATGTGAAGAAAATGGAATCAAAGCAGAAAGGCAACCAGAACATAAAGTCTAGTAGGGAAGGCTTAGCTTAGAGGGTAAAGAAGAAGGAGAAGGAGAAGGAGAAGGAGAAGGAGAAGGAGAAGGAGAAGGAGAAGGAGACGGAGAAGGAGAAGGACAAGGACAAGGACAAGGACAAGGACAAGGACAAGGACAAGGACAAGGACAAGGACAAGGACAAGGACAAGGAGAAGGACAAGGACAAGGACAAGGACAAGGACAAGGACAAGGACAAGGACAAGGAAAAGGAGGAGAGGAGGAGGAGGATGGAAGGAGGAGGGGAGGAGGAGGAGGAGGAGGAGAAGCAGGAGGAAGAGGAGGAGGAGAACGTGAACCACAACGAGAAGAAGAAAGAGAATACAAGACAAAAGGAGACAAAGAAATCTAACTAAAGAGAAAGAGAAAGGGAAAACGAAAGAGAAAGACAAAAATACAAAGACAATGAAAATGTCAAAGACGGAGACATGGGGTTGATGACAACAAAATTTAACATATGGGGCATAGTGATAGGGAATTTTTTCTCTGGTGTCTGTCCCTGGTCCTTAGCGGAGCCAAACTCGGTACAGAAGGGCTCGAGCTCTGACAGCATTTGCCTCTGGATGGCTCCCAGCACCAGAGACATTCCTACTCAATGCCAGCATGGCTGCAGAACTGTAAAGGCCCCAGGTGTCGTGGCCTGCAAGCAGGGAATCTGTCTGTCTTCAGGCAGGGTGCTTGAAGCACTTTGTCATTGCCCTTGTCCTTGTCTATGTCCTTATCTTTGTCACTGTCATTGTCCTTCCCCTTCTTCTTAACCTTCCATGCCACATTCCCACTTCTCTCCTTCATAGGCATCCGCTTCCCCTGTGATGACATTTCCTTCTCCTCTTTAACCTCCAAAAAAATATTGCCTCTTCCACTTTATAGTGGCAATCCCCTTCTAATTCCTGTTTTCCCAGGAACACCATTTCCCCTCCCACTCCCAGAATTCCTCATCCACAGGGGTATCCATGATTTGGGAAAAAAAGGCAAAGAGACAGGAGTTGGATGCAGGAAAACTTTATTGTGCCAAGAAGGGCAGGAGAGGCAGGGATGGGGACGGGGGGCAGGCCCCGGGCAGGCCGGGTGTCACGGGCTGCAGGAGGCCAGGGCAGCTTGTGCAGAGCTCAACTTCTCCAGGCTGGGCTGAGGCGGCGGCGGGGGTCTGGGGCTGTTGGTGGTGGCTCTAGCAGGGCCCGCAGGTGTCCCAGAGCCTCCTGCTGTAGCGGGGCAAGGCGCAGGGGCTGCAGGCGGCAGCAGCGGAGGCTCTGCCAAAGGTGCAGAGGCCCCCCGAGGCCTGGGTGGCGCCGGCGCCGTAGAGGCCGCCCAGCCCCAGGGAGCCGCCAAAGGCCGGTGCTCCGGAGGAGCCCACCACGGCCTGCTGGGGGAAGGAGCTGAGGATGGGGCCGGGGAAGGTGACCACCACGGGCGGTGGCTGGATGAAGGCAGAGGAGTCGGGGCACTGGCGGGCGCACAGCTCGTTGCAGCTCTCAGCGATGGGCTGGGGCACAGCCACGCTGGTTCTGGGTGGGCACAGGTCCGTGCTGGTGCGGGGTGGGCACAGGTCGTAGCAGGACATCTTGGCGTGGGACGCGAGGCTGCTCTGCAAGAGAGGGCAGCCGTGTGAGGAGAGCAGCCCAGGGCAGCGCCCGAGCCACAGGGGCCGGGGCTGGAGCAGGGAGCTGCGAGCAGGAGCGCTGGCACACTTACCCTTGTTCCCGAGGAGGAGAAGGTGGCCAGGGCACTGCTTGGTCCAGTCTGGCCCAGGCAGGGCTTTTATAGCAGCTCTGGCATTGCTCAGCTCCAGCTGGGCCAATCTGCGCAGGGGACACTCCCTGCTGCTGCTGCTGCTGACACCAGGGCTGTGCGGCCCCTGCCCCTCCCTGAGTCAGCATCCCCCAGGTGCCACCCCAGCACATCCCAAGGTGCCCAAACGATCTCATCCTTCCTGCCACATCAGTAATTGGTGGCAGTGATTGCACCCAGGAATGGACTCCAGGAAAATCTTTCAAGATCTACAGGGGTGGAGCAGGGCTGGACTTAGCCTGGACCAGAGGGACATCTCTCCTCTTTGGCCTATGGAGTTCAGGCTACACTGGAGAAGTCTTTGCTCCCAGCTTCGGGGAACCCCCAGAGCACTGAGTTCAGGCAGACGGGGTCTGGTGCTGCTGGGTTGTCCTGTGATGCACAGATCCCCTCCATGATGAAGGATCCAGACACTCCTGCCCCACATACTTCTGCCCCAGACCAGTGTTCCTGTCCGTTCCCAGGTGAAATCCCTGCTATCAATTATCTGAAGGGGCAGGAAGGACAGGATCACTTGGACACCTTGGGATGTGCTTTGGTGGCACCTGGGGGATGCTGACTCAGGGAGGGGCAGGGGCCGCACAGCCCTGGTGTCAGCAGCAGCAGCAGCAGCAGCAGGGAGTGTCCCCTGCGCAGATTGGTCCGGCTGGAGCTGAGCAATGCCAGGGCTGCTATAAAAGCCCTGCCTGGGCCAGCCTGGACCAAGCAGTGCCCTGGCCACCTTCTCCTCCTCAGGAACAAGGGTAAGTGTGCCAGCGCTCCTGCTCGCGGCTCCCTGCTCCAGCCCCGGCCCCTGTGGCTCGGGCGCTGCCCTGGGCTGCTCTCCTCACACGGCTGCCCTCTCTTGCAGAGCAGCCTCGCATCCCAGGCCAAGATGTCCTGCTACGACCTGTGCCCACCCCGTACCAGCACGGACCTGTGCCCGCCCAGAACCAGCGTGGCTGTGCCCCAGCCCATCGCTGAGAGCTGCAACGAGCTGTGCGCCCGCCAGTGCCCCGACTCCTCTGCCTTCATCCAGCCACCGCCCGTGGTGGTCACCTTCCCCGGCCCCATCCTCAGCTCCTTCCCCCAGCAGGCCGTGGTGGGCTCCTCCGGAGCACCGGCCTTTGGCGGCTCCCTGGGGCTGGGCGGCCTCTACGGCGCCGGCGCCACCCAGGCCTCGGGGGGCCTCTGCACCTTTGGCAGAGCCTCCGCTGCTGCCGCCTGCAGCCCCTGCGCCTTGCCCCGCTACAGCAGGAGGCTCTGGGACACCTGCGGGCCCTGCTAGAGCCACCACCAACAGCCCCAGACCCCCGCCGCCGCCTCAGCCCAGCATGGAGAAGTTGAGCTCGGCACAAGCTGCCCTGGCCTCCTGCAGCCCGTGACACCCGGCCTGTCCGGGGCCTGCCCCCCGTCCCCATCCCTGCCTCTCCTGCCCTTCTTGGTACAATAAAGTTTTCCTGCATCCAACTCCTGTCTCTTTGCCTCCTTTTCTGGAGTCATGAATAACCCTGGGGATGGGGGCGTTCCACAAGTGGGAGGGGAAATGGTGATATTGGGACGGGGTCAATGGAAAATAGAAGGGGAGGGGGAAGGTGAAAGAGGTGAGGGACGGAGTAAGAGGAGGGTGATGTGAAGAAAAGCAGAAAGGCAACCAAATCATAAAGTCCAGTAGGAAGAGCTTAGCTTAGAGGGTAAAGAGGAAGGAGAAGGAGAAGGAGAAGGAGAAGGAGAAGGAGAAGGAGGAGGAGGAGGAGGAGGAGGAGGAGGAGGAGGAGGAGGAGGAGGAGAACGAGAAGAAGAAAGAGAATACAAGACAAAAGGAGACAAAGAAATCTAACTAAAGAGAAAGGGAAAGGGAAACCGAAAGAGAAAGACAAAAATACAAAGACAATGAAAATGTCACAGACTGAGACATGGAGTTGAAAACAACAAAATTTAACATATGGGGCATAGTAATAGGGATTTTTTTCTCTGGTGTCTGTCCCTGGTCCTTAGCGGGGCCAAGCTCATTACAGAGGTGCTCCAGCTCTGACAGCATTTGCCTCTGGATGGCTCCCAGCTCCAGGGACAATCCTACTCAATGCCAGCATGGCTGCAGATCTGTAAAGGCCCCAGGTCTCACGGCCTGCAAGCAGGGAATCTGTCTGTCTTCAGGCAGGGTGCTTGAAGCACTTTGTCATTGCCCTTGTCCTTGTCTATGTCCTTATCTTTGTCATTATCATTTTCCTTCTCCTTCTTCTTAACATTCCATGCCTCATTCCCACTTCTCTCCTCCATATGCATCTGCTTCCCCTTTGATGCCATTTCCTTCACCTCTTTAACCTCCAAAAAAACATTGCCTCTTCCATTTTACAGTTGCAATCCCATTCCAATTCCTGTTTCCCAGGAACACCATTTCCCTTCCAACTCCCAGAATTCCCCATCCACAGGAGTATCCATGATTTGGGAAAAAAAGGCAAAGAGACAGGAGTTGGATGCAGGAAAACTTTATTGTGCCAAGAAGGGCAGGAGAGGCAGGGATGGGGACGGTGGGCAGGCCCCGGGCAGGCCGGGTGTCACGGGCTGCAGGAGGCCAGGGCAGCTTGTGCAGAGCTCAACTTCTCCAGGCTGGGCTGAGGCGGCGGCGGGGGTCTGGGGCTGTTGGTGGTGGCTCTAGCAGGGCCCGCAGGTGTCCCAGAGCCTCCTGCTGTAGCGGGGCAAGGCGCAGGGGCTGCAGGCGGCAGCAGCGGAGGCTCTGCCAAAGGTGCAGAGGCCCCCCGAGGCCTGGGTGGCGCCGGCGCCGTAGAGGCCGCCCAGCCCCAGGGAGCCGCCAAAGGCCGGTGCTCCGGAGGAGCCCACCACGGCCTGCTGGGGGAAGGAGCTGAGGATGGGGCCGGGGAAGGTGACCACCACGGGCGGTGGCTGGATGAAGGCAGAGGAGTCGGGGCACTGGCGGGCGCACAGCTCGTTGCAGCTCTCAGCGATGGGCTGGGGCACAGCCACGCTGGTTCTGGGTGGGCACAGGTCCGTGCTGGTGCGGGGTGGGCACAGGTCGTAGCAGGACATCTTGGCCTGGGATGCGAGGCTGCTCTGCAAGAGAGGGCAGCCGTGTGAGGAGAGCAGCCCAGGGCAGCGCCCGAGCCACAGGGGCCGGGGCTGGAGCAGGGAGCCGCGAGCAGGAGCGCAGGCACACTTACCCTTGTTCCCGAGGAGGAGAAGGTGGCCAGGGCACTGCTTGGTCCAGGCTGGCCCAGGCAGGGCTTTTATAGCAGCCCTGGCATTGCTCAGCTCCAGCCGGGCCAATCTGTGCAGGGGACACTCCCTGCTGCTGCTGCTGCTGCTGCTGCTGACACCAGGGCTGTGCGGCCCCTGCCCCTCCCTGAGTCAGCATCCCCCAGGTACCACCAAAGCACATCCCAAAGTGCCCAAACAATCTCATCCTCTCTGTCACATCAGTAATTAGTGGCAGTGATTGCACCCACGAATGGACTCCAGGAAGATCAGTCAAGATCTACAGGGGTGGAGCAGGGCTGGACTTAGCCAGGACCAGAGGGACATCTCTCCTCTTTGGCCTATTGAGTTCAGGCTACACTGGAGAAGTCTTTGCTCCCAGCTTCGGGGAACCCCCAGAGCACTGAGTTCAGGCAGACGGGGTCTGGTGCTGCTGGGTTGTCCTGTGATGCACAGATCCCCTCCACGGTGAAGGATCCAGACACTCCTGCCCCACATACTTCTGCCCCTGACCTGTGTTCCTGTCCATTCCCAGGTGCAATCCCTGCTATCAAATATCTGAAGGGGCAGGAAGGACTGGGTAACTTGGACACCTTGGGATGTGCTTTGGTGGCACCTGGGGGATGCTGACTCAGGGAGGGGCAGGGGAGGCACAGCCCTGGTGTCAGCAGCAGCAGCAGTACCAGCAGCAGCAGGGAGTGTCCCCTGTGCAGATTGGCCCAGCTGGAGCTGAGCAATGCCAGGGCTGCTATAAAAGCCCTGCCTGGGCCAGACTGGACCAAGCAGTGCCCTGGCCACCTTCTCCTCCTCGGGAACAAGGGTAAGTGTGCCAGCGCTCCTGCTCGCGGCTCCCTGCTCCAGCCCCGGCCCCTGTGGCTCGGGCGCTGCCCTGGGCTGCTCTCCTCACACGGCTGCCCTCTCTTGCAGAGCAGCCTCGCATCCCACACCAAGATGTCCTGCTACGACCTGTGCCCACCCCGTACCAGCACGGACCTGTGCCCGCCCAGAACCAGCGTGGCTGTGCCCCAGCCCATCGCTGAGAGCTGCAACGAGCTGTGCGCCCGCCAGTGCCCCGACTCCTCTGCCTTCATCCAGCCACCGCCCGTGGTGGTCACCTTCCCCGGCCCCATCCTCAGCTCCTTCCCCCAGCAGGCCGTGGTGGGCTCCTCCGGAGCACCGGCCTTTGGCGGCTCCCTGGGGCTGGGCGGCCTCTACGGCGCCGGCGCCACCCAGGCCTCGGGGGGCCTCTGCACCTTTGGCAGAGCCTCCGCTGCTGCCGCCTGCAGCCCCTGCGCCTTGCCCCGCTACAGCAGGAGGCTCTGGGACACCTGCGGGCCCTGCTAGGCTCATCTTAGGGCCTTTTTCGTCTGTCAGCGATGGAGAACTCTAGAAGTTGTTAATCTGGGCTGTTGCTGTCACTTCTTTTTCCTTTAATCCTTTTCTTTACTTATCTTTAGGATTTTACCTGTCCTCCAATTTGATGATCTAGTCCCCAATGTTCTCCCTTGTGAATTATTATGTAAAACACTTTCATTGTTCTTTCCTTTTCTTTAGTCTTTATTATGTCATTTTTATCAGCGTCATGTCATATTTGCATCTATATAGCTCTGCTTGTTGACATCTGTATGAGTTGGAAGTTTAAGCTTTATTTTTTTATACTCTTTGTACCTCTTGTTTTCCCATACTTACCTTTGTACTCTCTGTCGTATTGAAGTTGTTCCTGCAATAAATCTTTCATGCATCAAATTTTTTGGTATCTTTTTTTTTTTTTTTTTTCCTAATGGTGCTGAGTACTTACTTAAGATATTGCCTGCTCATAACCGAGTTATTCAACTTGACCATTTCTGGTTGCTTAAATCTGTGGAGAGCCACTGGGGGAGGGCTTGGGAGTGCTGGAGCCGCTCTGAGAGGAGCAGCCTGCCCTGGATGACACAAAAGGGAAAGTAAGAGCAGGGCAGGGCCCGGCCTGGCCAAACCCAGCGGCTAGGAACGATCTGATCAGGGCTGAGGTGCTGGGCAGCTCCTCCCTGCTTTGGGCGCTGTTACTCAGCCCAGGGACATGCAAGGGCTACAAAACAACAAAACAGGGGGCAGAGATCATTGCTCAGTGCTTCCCAAGTGCTCTCACAGCCCTTGTTCCTCAGGGGCTCGAGAAAATCTGCACTTAGATGGGTGTTTTTTCTCACAGGAACCCTCCAAATAAATTTTGTAGTCCAGAGAGGGCTGAAATCGTGGTGTTTTTAATATGAAGTAGAGAGAGGCAATCACAGAACCATGGAATGGTTTGGGTGGGAAGGGATCTTAAAATCATCTCATTCCACGCCCTGCCATGGGCAGGGACATCTTCCACCACCCCAGGTTGCTGCAAGCCCTGTCCAAGCTGGTCTTGGACACTTCCAGGGATGAGGCAGCCATGGAATATCCTGTGCCAGGGCCTCCCTGTGCTCACAGGGAAGGATTTATCCCAAAAATCCCATCTAAACCTCCTCTTTGTCAGTCTGAACCCATTCCCCTTGTCGTGTCACTCCATCCCTTGTGAAAAGCTTCTCCCCGTGTTTCTTGTAGTGCCTTCAGGTCCTGCAAGGCCACAGTGAGGCTTCCCCTTCTCCAAACAGAATAATCCCGGCTCTCTCAGCCTTTCCTCCCAGCAGAGCTGCTCCATTCCTCGGATCATCCTCGAGCCTCCTCTGGGCTCTCTTCAGGTCCTGCCTGGGCTGGGATCCAGGGCTGGGGCAGCTCTGCAGGTGAGGTCTCACCTGAGCAGGGCAGAATCCCCCCTCCCCTGCTGCCCACGCGGGTTTTGATGCAGCGAGGGGTTGGATTTGAAGGGAATTTGAGCCAGGGATGAGGCACAACTTACTCTGACTGTCAAATTTTTGTACAATATAAATCAAAACAAGGCAATCTCCCCCAGGCTGGGAGATGTGGGAACCACTCAAACCCTTTCTGTGCTTGGAGAATAATTTTTTTCCTTCCCCTGCAGCAAAGACAGGGAAATTTGTTGGGGCAATAAACAAACCTAACCACAAACACAAACCTAAACCCAAATCCTTTTCCACCTGCAGAGAAAATGAAAATATTGGTGTGAATCTGGACCACAACAACTAATCTTCAGCGTAGGAGTTAAGAGCAGATCTCTGGGGGGATTTCTCAGGAATGATCAGAAGGATCTGTAAAATGCACTGGATACAGGTGAAAACCTAAATGTTGTGCTCTGAAAAAATCATAGGAAAAGGGTAAATAATCACTTTTTTTTTTTTTTAATGGAAAATATAGCCTGAAATAAGGCAAATACAGCAAAGGTGGAATCTTAAACTCACAGAGGATTCAGCCACGGATATGGAAAGGATTTTTTTTTAAAGAAGGAAAAGAAGAACTGCATTAATCATTAACCGTTGACTTCCAATGGCACAAATCATGATTTAATCAAAGTAATGGCAGGCACCACCTTGTTTCCTGCACATTAAAGCAGCTTGGGGTTGTGTAAGAGTGAAATGTCTAAATCACTCGTGTAATACAACACCGAACATTAGCTGGGTTGAACAGCAGATAATGAATGTTTGTGAAATCATTACAAAGTATTTTTCTCAAGAAGGACCTGAACACTTTTGATAAGAGATTGCACCCATGGCATTATAGAAAAACCTTGATCTGCCTCTTTGGTTTTTCCTCAGAATTGGAATCACAGGACTAGATATGGGAACATTCAGCACCATTGACCCTTTTAAAACTGAATTTTATTTCCCACTAAAACCTTCTTATTTAAACAAAGTGATTTTTTTGTGGGACTGATTCCAAACCTTCCTCTCAATGCAAAACTACTGGGGGACTGCTGAGTGTCCTGGATGATCTCAGCAGATATTCATGACCCCTTAAATCCATCTCATACCAACAAGGTCTCTTTAATTACAGCTAGAAATGACATTTGTCCCTGAGTAGTTCTGGAATAAGCTGGTTTCTGCTTCTAATTAATTTATCAGATAATTTTAAAGGGCTGTTAAGGAAAAATGTCCATGTCAGCCAAAGATGAGTCTTACAAAATCTTGGAGCAGACAAGCTCATGACAAGGTTGTAAAGGAAGAAGTAACATGTGGAGTCAGCTCAATGAACATGATAATTCCAGTGAGGTCACTCTAATGATGCCAGGAGTTGCCAGTGCCAATTAAGACGCAAGATTAAAGAAATCAGGATGGTGAAACTCCAACATCACACGATAGGAGAATATGAATGAAATCAGAACTACCACAAACTCCAAACTTTCGTGACTCAAAGCTGGCAAACAATTTCTTTAAGGCAGAACCCCCACCCCAAGGAAGTTCCAAACCCTCAGGAATGTTGGGATCCTCTATATAAGCTCCAGTGCTTGGGTACTGGACAAACACTTCTCGCAGCTCATTCACCTTGTGGAGCTTAGTGAGTATGAATTTTTAATTCCTTTCTATTTATTTAATCAGAGCCTGAACCAGAGCAGTAGAAGATTCCTTTAGGAATGCTGAAATTTAGAACAGTTTTACATAATTTCTGTCTGGAATTACTCTTAATGAAACCAGTGGGAAATGTGGGATATGGGAGACTCCAAATCTTTGGGAACCCCCAGATCTTCCCAACTTCCCAACTTTGGGGAAGTTAATGGGAGGTGGGACTGAGGTTTTTATAAGCATTTCCAAAACCTGAATGACACAACTATGTGGGGCCAGAACAAAGATCAGTTTGTGGGGTCTGGTCATTATGGGATGGTTTTACATGGGCAGGAATTTTTGGATCAAGGTGCTCATTGGGTTTTCACCATGACACACAACACAGTGATTTCAGTCATGTTGAAAATTTCTCTCATCAACTTCCAAGTTTTTATAGTTTTCATGTCTCTATCTGTTGCAAACCAACCTTCAAGCCTGCAAGATGTTCTGCTATGATCCCTTGGCTGGGACAGATGAAGCCGGGCAGGGCACAGGGACTTGGGCAGGGATTGTAAGGTCAGGGGATGTGGGGATCAGGGCTCTGAGGGGGCTGAAGGGCACAGGGCCAGTGCTGGGCAGGGCGGGCAAGGCTGTGAGACTTTTACCACTCAAGGTCTTTGTCAGGTCTGGGGGAAAAAGCCAAAGCTGAATCAGGAGATCCCCACAGTTGTTCTAACACCAGTTTTTCTGAATTATCTTTCAGCCTCATCTCTCTCACGCCAAGATGTCCTGCTACGACCTGTGCCCACCCCGCACCAGCACGGACCTGTGCCCGCCCAGAACCAGCGTGGCTGTGCCCCAGCCCATCGCTGAGAGCTGCAACGAGCTGTGCGCCCGCCAGTGCCCCGACTCCTCTGCCTTCATCCAGCCACCGCCCGTGGTGGTCACCTTCCCCGGCCCCATCCTCAGCTCCTTCCCCCAGCAGGCCGTGGTGGGCTCCTCCGGAGCACCGGCCTTTGGCGGCTCCCTGGGGCTGGGCGGCCTCTACGGCGCCGGCGCCACCCAGGCCTCGGGGGGCCTCTGCACCTTTGGCAGAGCCTCCGCTGCTGCCGCCTGCAGCCCCTGCGCCTTGCCCCGCTACAGCAGGAGGCTCTGGGACACCTGCGGGCCCTGCTAGAGCCACCACCAACAGCCCCAGACCTCCGCCGCCGCCTCAGCCCAGCGTGGAGAAGCTGAGCTCGGCACAAGCTGCCCTGGCTTCCTGCAGCCCGTGACACCCGGCCTGCCCGGGGCCTGCCCCCCGTCCCCATCCCTGCCTCTCCTGCCCTTCTTGGTACAATAAAGTTTTCCTGCATCCAACTCCTCCTGTCTCTGTGCCTCTTTTCCCCAAATGACAGAGACCCATGGCTTTGGCCAAGTGAGGAACTCCAGGCATCTCTTCCCAGCACAAGACTGAATATCCCGCCAGAGGAAAACAAGGACAAATGAAAACCAGAGCGGCTTTTGTGCAACACCAACAGGGGTTTAATGTCAGAGAGAAGAGCAACAGCCGAGGGCAGGGAACCCAGGCGATCCCAGGGACAGCAGGGGATGCAGGACTCGTGTTCCGGGAGCAGGGCCTTGCTCAGGAGCGGGATAAGCCAGGGATGGAGGGGCCGGGCACAGAGAGGGGATGGAGAGCTCAGGGAATCCCGAGGGGATGGAGGGCTCAGGGAATTCCGAGGGGATGGAGGGCTCAGGTATCCCGAGGGGATGGAGGGCTCAGGGAATCCCGAGGGGATGGAGGGCTCAGGTATCCCGAGGGGATGGGAGATGCGGGCACAGAGAGGGGATGGAGGGCTCAGGGCACACCCGGGGCGGCTGGGCACACTCAGCTGCCCCTGCCAGCGGATCCTGCCTGATGTCCCCACAGCCCGGGCTGGGCTCCAGGGCTGGCACTGCCGCTGGGGGCTGGCACTGCCAGGGCGGCTTTAGAAAAACCCACAGCTCCCGCGGCGGGATCTGCCCCATCTCTGGGAGCCAGACAGGGAATAGCCCAGGCCCCGCGAGGAGAAGCCGGAGCTGTAGGACCTCCCGCAATTGCCAAAGGAGCCCCCATAGCCCCCCAGGGAACCCCCATAGCCCCCAAAGGAGCCCCCATAGCCAATATCACCTCCATAACCCAGGGAACCCCCATATCCAAGAGAGCCCCCATAGCCCTGGGAGCCCCC